TTGTTAAAACAGATTTCATTACAAGCCTCCTCCAAACCCAAGGAAGACAGACGGGCTGTCCGCAACACAACTCATGTCAGGCATTTGATTCGGGACCACCGGAACACCACGTGCTTGCAGCCTCCCAGAGCATGGGTGTCTTTGGCCGACACTGGTATGGGACCACTTCAGAAGGCACTCAGGATCAGGAGGTTGCAAGCTGGATACTTACAGATTCGAGCACTCTCCAGGAAATCTGGGAGAGAGAAAGCTCTAGAAGAAAAGGCCCCCAACCCATGCACCAGACACTTGCTGCATCTTTTGCCTGTGCCCTCATTAGCATGCTGCTTTGGGGCTGTGGTGCAGTTTTTAAGACAGTGTCTGCTCATCTCCACCTAAAAGCTCATTCTACTTAATATTTGGTCCCATGGACCAGACCAAACCTACTGGAAAACAAAGTTCCTGGACCACACAGTTTCTTGTCAGGGCCTCAATACCAATTGCTTTGACCTACGATCTCTAATGGCACTTGCATATAAAGACACAGCTGCTTTTTTCGTAATAATTTCGTAAATTCGTAAATGTCTCTCTCACCAACTCACAGCTTGCCCATCTCTTAACACTGTGTTCGGTCTACAGGAACCGAGCTCCTAGAGCTGTCGCCTGCCACGCAGCACCTTACACAGCCCAAGGGCAGCCAGGTTGCCTTCCTTCACGTGCTCTTTCAATCTAATGGAATCGGTCTTGCGAGATGCTCTGTTGGAGACACCACTGCAGTATAAAACCTCGCTGCAGCACGCAGAGTTTTATCACAGGTTCCATCGTATTTAAAACACTATAAGCAACAGCAAAACCCACATGTCCTGCCTGTTTCCAGCTACAGCTGCAATACAGCAGCTCAGATGCTCTGGTTCCTTGTTGTTACCAACCGTGTTATCATGCAACAGTGTTTTGCACAAAGAAGATGAGCTCCTTTACCTCTCAGTGCTGATGCGGTAGCGAGCCTCCCGGTTACCCACATTGCGAACCAGCAGAGTTTTCTGGGAGCTGTACTTGACTGGACAGACGGAGAAGTTCAGCTGGTCAGGGAAGTCCAGGATAGCTCGGGCACCTACAGCTCGGATTGGCACGATAAACTTTTCCCTTTCTGTGATGCAAGTGACCTGGTGGAAATAATCCTGCAGGGAAAGAAACAATCTCAGCACAGTGCATTTTTTTAGCATCCCATGGCAGAAGAAAAACCGCTGTTTTCTATGACTCTAACAGTAGCATCCAGTAACATCAAAGGGCTTTTTACCTTAGGGACCTTTCATTCCTGTAGTGTGACTTGAACAAGGCTGCTAACTTGCAAAGAAGAAACAATCCCATTGATTCACCTGCTTTCACAGCATGCTGGCAGAACCAGACAAAATTTTCAGATACTTTGATTCAGAGGCACCAAAATAGAACAATTTCATGGAAGGGATTACAGCAGTAACAAGAACCCATTTCCATCACCACCGCAGATGATCAAAGGCTCCACTAAGCACCCAGCTGTGACACAGCACTAAATCCAATCCCAGCAACGCAGCGACCTCACTGATGCTGGCCAGGGGATGCTCAGGTGCCTTTTCAAAAGGACTTTGCCATGTGCACGACCAACACTCAGTCTTTGGTGAAATATTTAACAAGCTGGACATGGGAATTGTTTTAATGTCAGGTGGGTTTAGGTTAAGTGTGTAATTCCTACCCTTTCCCAGAGCATTACAGGGACAAGGCTGGAGTCACACACCCTTAAAAAGCTATGTGCTCCATCTCCCAACCACAGAACTGGCTCAGCTCTACACCCAAACTACTCCTGCAAGATGTCTGACAAGTACTTAAAAGCACTAACAATTCCACCCCTGCCCTCAGCAGCCTATTCCAGCTCTACACTAGACTTAAAGAGTTCTTCCTGTGCCTAATCTCAGGTACACGAAGGCAAGGCTAAAGCAACAAGGATTTGGCCTCAGAGACAACCATGACCTTGAGAGAGCAAATTGCCTCTTGCCATTCATGCACAGGCATGTTGCATGCCGAGCCCCCTCTCCAGGGATGCCCTGGCATGCTGCATCCTGTACAAGGCTGGACTCCGCTCTTCAGAGTGCCCTGACCTTCAGCCACGCTCTGTGACCCACCAGAATGGGACCTTGCACCAAGCTGAACGCAGCCTCAGGCCAAATGGGGGGAAAGCCAAGGGAAGAGGGGTGCCAGGCAGAAGCCGGCTGTGCAGGCTGCTGTGAACCCACAGTCCTGTGAGCATTTGCAAGCTGAATAACCCTCCCGTGGGAGGAGATAGAGGCTGCAGATCTCCACCGCAGCACTGCCCTGCGTTATCAGCTCTGCTAGGCATTTACTTACAGTCTACGGGTACAGCTGGAACCAATTCACAGCCTTGTTTTACTTTGCAACTGCTAACCCTTAGACTGTTTCAATCCAGGTTTCTAAAGAAACATGCCTGGGTGAGAGAGGGGTTGCATCGCTTCCACACTTTAAAGATTCTTTTTAGACCCACCAGCTTCAGTCTACAGATTTTCATGAAAATACAACTTCATCCTTCATACAACTCCTCTCCCAATTTCAAGGAAAACACCTGTCACTGTACAATGGTTCCTCTTCTCTTATTCACCTTCAAGAAGCAATAAGTTCCAAGCTCTGGCCTGTGAAGTATCACCACTGGCATTTGAATTTCTCCCAATGAAATTAAAGAACTGCTTGTGTCTCAGAGGTGTCAGTTCAGGCACTTTGCAAGCTCAGGTTAACGGTAATTACTGTCACAGTGATAGCAACCTTCACTGCCCAGCACACCAGCAAACGCAGGGGGCGGTTTTGCTGTGAAACCAACCCTAAATACCTCACTGAATTCATTGCAGCAGACAACTGCAAAGAAGAGATCCTTGTAGCACGAAGTAACATAGCAAGTCAAGCAGGGAAAGCTCTCTGCTGAAACCAGGATATCATAAAGGCTGGAAAAGAAGGGCCATTAAAAGAGAGGAGGGACTGGAGGATGAAGACAGCTTCCCATGAGAAAGGGTGGCCCTTCTCCTGCCTTCCTCAGCCACCAATTCACAGCAGGCTTTGAAATCGGTCACTTGGCTCCAGGTTCATTTTGCACAGGGCCATTTGCCTCCATTTTCTGCCCTTTTCCTCCCCTCAAAAGTCATCTTAAAAGGATACTTGGAATAGCTTCAGTGTGCTACCAAACATCTAACAGCGCCCGACTGAATTCTAATTTCAGTAATGCAATAACTCATCAGCCTGTCATAATTCACATTAACGAGCATTAATTCAGTCTCCACTGAGCAACAGTAGTGAATTTGGCAAACCTTACAGACTGAACGTGTATTGCTTGAATATATTGTATTGCTACAGCAAAAAGAGCGAGAGGACAAAACAGAATAAGCTGTGCTATGTATTCATATGCTTCTTGCTTCCTTCTTCCTTTAAGGTAATCTATTAATAAGCCAAAGGACACACACAAAGGTATGTATTCCTGCCTATTGCCAGTCAGTTCCACGATGGTTTCCAATTAGGCAGAGACTGTCAGACCATAACGCAAGGACTCCTGAACACAGGGTGGCATGAGAACAGCCACACCGTGCAACTGAAGCCCTAAACCAGAAATGTGTACATCAGAAGCAGCAAGAGTAACTACCTGGAAACGCTACCCAACAGAAAAATTAGCATTTCTTATTTCTAAGGAGAGTGCCAATAAACAGAGACATTCAGCTCTTTATTTACCTTCTGACAGTCCAATTCTATGGCACATTCCCAAATGACTGCAAGACAATAGGAAATTGCTCATTTTTCAAGCAAGCGCTATATGGCATGTGTCATTTCAGCCACTAACAACTCACCTGGTCCTTTTATTTAGGGCTTAGCTGCAATTTTACTCCCTTGAATCAGGAGTGACTTTGCTGAAGTCAGACTTACCCCGGGGAAGAACAGATTCAAACCAACTCCATCGCAGGAGGAGTGCCCAGCCCTGGCAGAGGGGTTTGTACCTGCGTCCCAGCTCACTGGGTTATCCACCCTCCCTGCAGGTGATGGAGATGCAGAGGGGCAGAGCCTCTTCAAAGGCAGCACTCGTCAGCCTTCCACAACTAACACACAGGCATTCTGCGTGCAAGCCACTGCAAGCCCAACACAGGTGGCTCTAAAGATCCATTTCCCAAAGCCTCTTTGCTAAGGGGTTTTCAAGGTGCCGTGCACCTCCTGACTGCACTGTTGACACGTTTCTAGCTGAGCTACAGTGCTCTGGTGCTTCACTGGCCCACACTCCATCAAGTACAAGACAAAATGTTCGATTAGTACAAAATTCTGATTCAGCTGTATAAATCCCCATGTGCTCCTTGCTGAGCAGCATGCACCCCTCTCCCCAATGCCCTGTACAACCCCCAGTGCACCAGAAACCACCAGAGTGTCGCTGAAGCTCTGCTGGCAGAACTCCCTGCTCCATATACTTGACAGTTCAAGGGCAAGACAAGGGGCAAAGTATTGGACATGGGGGTTCTTGAGGGTTCTCTCACCCCACTTGTATTTGTGGTGATGTTCACGCGTTGCTTTGCTGCCTCTCTAAACTTGACGAGCAGCACTTTGCCCTTCACGGGCACCAACATACCTCTGCCACCCCCCAAAAAGAACACTAATTAATACGAATAAATCACATTTTGAAGGCACCGGTGTACTTTGCAAAGTCTACCTCAATGAGATTAAGCTCTTGTGTCACTTGGGAAGTTTGGAGAACTGCCCTAGGACAACAAAATTTTAACCCTAAATATTAATGATGTTAAATAATTTCTCAGTCCCTCCAAAGGAACAGATTATTTCACAAGCATGGGGAGCTAGGGACCACAGGGCATTTTCTCTTTAGTTTTCTATATCCGTGCTGTTTGAGGACAGGACAAAGTGTTAAATTATATCTAAGTAGCAAGTGAAAGATGAAGAAGCAGGTACACCCAAAGAGATCTTGTACCGCTGGCCCGGTGCAGAAGCATCTGCTGGCTCAAAGCTGTCCCCTAGCCTCGTCTCTCCATCAGAGTCATGCAAAGGACAGGGCTAAGAGGTAGCAGGATGGTGGTGAAAGGACTCAGCATGCCTGTCCTTGTTTCCCTGAAGTGCTTCCTCCTGTCCATGCCAGGTATTAAATTCTTCTGCACTAACAAGCCTCCAGATAAAAGTATTGACCCTTCACATCACAGCACTGAGAAACAGACCTGCCAGGGCCACAGCACTGATGTGCAAACCTCTAAGCAAAGGCACGGCGTGTTTGGCATGGAAGAGGTGCCAGCTGACAGTTACCACAGTAACAAGCGTGACGGCCACAGCGCAGGCTCTGGGTAACGTGTCTGCCTGCAGCTTGTACCTGCCCGTTTATTCCCCTATGTGCTCGTTCAGGCAGATGTCTCAAAGCCACCTGCAGCCCAACAACCTCCTGTCGATTTAGGGACATCTAGAGCTCAGTGTGCCTGTGCCAGGCTGGCTCCCTGCCACCTGCACAGCACTCCCTCTGCCCCAGCCTCCCAGCTGCATCGCAGACAGACAAGTGTCCTCAGGGACAGCCCAGCTGCAGGGCTTGAAAACAGAGGGGATGGAAAAGCACCATCTTTGCTCCAGTCCAGGGTGAGGCAGGGAAGTGGTTGCCCGATGGGAAACAGAAAAGCTCTCTGGATCTATTTGTTCCTCTAGTATTTTCCACAATAATTAACCCCCTACCTCTGGGTAGAGAGATAGACAAACATCAACCCCCCACCCTGCCATTTTCCTACAGTTCCACGTGCATCTTCCCTCACGAGCACTCAAGGAAGCACAGGGCGGGAAAGCACAGCCCATCAGTCCCTGCTGCAGCAGCTAACAGCATCCTAACAGACCAGCTGCAGACTGCCCGACCACAGCCTGGAGCAGACCCCACAGCAGGCTATGGGCTATAACCAGTGCGTAAAAACCGCCACGACTTCAGACATAATGTTCCGCTGTCTCGCTACCGTGGCCAACACGTGAGGCATTAAGGTGACTCTAGTTTCCAAGGGTGGCAGTCCCCACTCTGATCAGGCTCAATTTACGTCCTCCAAGTAACAAGTCACTTTTAAACACACCTCCGTAGCTACCGTTAGTGGAGCAAACCCATAATCACACAGCAGTGGACAGATACCAGAAACCAACACCTCGGGAGGCTGCCCCACCACAGACGGCAGACTCTCTTATCTCTCAGACCAGCAGACATGACATTAAATGTTCCATCACTGAAGGACAAAAATAATCTGAAACATGTAAGAGCCTCCAGCCTACGAGAGCATAATCTTCACCATGGGGAAGGAGTTTCCTCTGGTTCTAGATTCAGGATAACCCCACTGGAACCAGGACAGTCCTCAAAACCCACAGCAGATGCCCTGTTCTGAATCCAGACCAGCAGGTTCAGCTTACGCTGAAGGCACCAACCTCTCTGGACCTCCAGTCTCACCTTGTTCTCCTCCGGGGTGAACAGGATGTGGAAAGTTGAACACATGCCAGGTGCTACTTTATAGCACACACCACTGGGGCTGGTCAACTTGAAGTAAGGCGACGGTTCCAAGAAAACCTTCACCAGCCGAGGAACCTGCAGGGAAGACAGGAAACTATGATTGTGCCACTCGTACGGAAACATGAGGAGAAAATACCTGGCCATGCCCTGGGGACGTCGCTCCTTAACCACCTTTCCAAAGCACTTCTAACTCTTGAGGTTGTCACAACCCAGAGTGGAAGCCCAGAGAGTCGCAACAGTTCTGTGATCCCCTTGGGTTAAATTAAGGTGAAAGGACACCAAGCGACCGGTTAAAATGTTTTACTTGTGGTAGAAAACAATTTAAACTTGGAAAAGGATAATAAGCAATGTGGTGTCTTATAAATCTATAAGAGGGAGAGGGAGAGGGAAAGGGAGAGGGAGAGTGAGGGGGAGGGGGAGAGGGAGAGGGAGAGCCAAAGCAATCCGGATCAGCACCCCTGGATCCAGCACTGTCTCTGGTCCAACGGTCTTGGCTGGTAGATGCACACGCAACAAAGTTTCTGTCCCCTTTTCAGTTCATCTTACCAGCTGGTTAGCATACTTCTGCTTCTGGGGCAGACATGCTCACCTCTTGTCAGGCCTTGTCGCCTCTTCAATGGCAACGGCACGAAGCCGTTAGCAAGGCCAGCATGGTGTCTGGCCGGCACATTGGATCCACACAGTACCGGGCTTACACAGTGCAGCCAGTGATATGCGGTCTCCGTGCTTGAGGGGAAACTTTTGGTTTCACTCAGCTTCCCCCCTCTGAGGTCCACATAAGGCGTCTGTCAATACAACTGCAAGGGAGTGGGGGAGGGGGGGTACAGCCTTCCATACGGTCCCGCTCCCTCGGGTGACATTCCTTAGACTAATCCAAAGGCCACAGCTGATCCTGGAGGTTTTCTGTGTCGATTAATGTTTGAGGCATCAATGCCTTCAGTTCCTTACAGAGGAATACACCAGGATGGAATCCATTCTGCCAGGGCACAATAGCATATCAACCAGCCCAAAGAACCTGCGGGCTTCTGCCTGCACACACCCAAGCAGTCACAGCTTGGAGGGGGATGAAATACCCGAAGGCAAAACACTACCTGTTATACTGGGGGGAGGAAGAAATTCACTTCTAACATACTGGGTTTGAGTGGGGCAGTCAAGCTGCACTGCTACAGTCATGCAGGCAGACCAGCAAGAGGAGACCACAGACACTGTGGCCTTACTGGGAATAAAAGGAAACCTGGAGAGCAAAAGGAGGAACATAGGAAGACAACGAGACAAGAAACAAGGAGATGGCTTAAGGGAATTTAAAGCGGGCTGTAAAGAAGCAAGGGAGAAGCCAAATACACTACAAGGAAAGGCTGATGCAGAAGATGAGAGCGGTCAACTTGCCAAAATGATGGAAAGCCACACAACCCCCCAGGCTGAGCCTATCAATTATGGCCTTCAGAGGCATTTTCTGCCTTGAGATACGTGACCAGTACTGACTCACAGTGTAGTTTCATTGTTAAAAGCCGCTCTCGGCTCTCTGGAGGCTCTTGCTGCCTGGTGCCTGTAGCCAGGCCGCTGCCAGTGCAGGCAAGGCAGATTTCTGGGCATTCCTCCCCACACCCAGGAGTCCAGGCAGGTACCCTGCTGCAAGTTTATGCCTTCTGGGATACCACAAGCACAGACACAGCACAGAGATGTTTTCTAGCACACTGATATCAACCCCTGAGCACCAAATCTCATCTCAAAGTCTAAAACAGGCAATTTTGACTGACAGGCAGCTTCACTGATAAATAACAAACCCACGTGAGGCTTGGGGAAAATGGAGGTTCATTCTTCACCACCCGCTCGAGCCCGATAACCCATGGCCAAGGCAGTCCTGACGTCTCCAAACACCCTTTGCTCCCAGCAGTGCCCTGGGACAGTGAGTCCCAGGAGCACATTTTACACTGCAGACTTTACAGCACATTTTACACTGCAGACAAACGTTAAGACCTTCAGCAAAAGCCACCAAGAACATCACTGAGAGTGGTGAGGAGCAGCCTGAAGACAGAAAAGCAATGTTACAACACACAGGGAAGAGCAGTAACTATACAGCAAAGCACTTCTGTATTTGAATGACTATAGAGCCTCTATCTGGAATATACACTTTGCTGTTAGCTGGATTTTTATGGATCAGACAACCTCAGGCTACCATGCAGTACAGGTCAGCGTGATTTGGAGGAATCTGTGAAACTGGTGAGAAAACTTTGAGACAGAGCACAGTGTTGCTGGACATCACCAAAAGCCAACAAAATTAGAATGTAACCACCTCTCTTGGGATTATCATCTCTATGTTTGTGTACTTCAGTATGCCAAGGATTTCGCTTAAAGCTGATCTTGCTTTTCCACCAGAGCTATCCAATGGCTGAGGACTTACTAGCTTCAAAACTAATTCCTTTTGGAAAAAATCAACAGCTCACACATTGCCTCCCCTTTACACGGCATACAAATCACAAGGTGCAGCTGCACAAGTTTATTATGTTTTACTGGGAATAGCAGAAACGCTGATGCAGATGTTTTCCACTTGAGGAAGCATGAACAGAGCAAATGGACTGCCTGTTGGCTGGTACTTGGCAACGACAAATATTTTGAAGTGCCATCTGGATAACGGAGCAGCTGAAGCCCAAAAACTTACTGGGAACAAAGCAGAGCCATAGGAACAAAGAGAAACTGAGGCACATTTTAACTAGGAAAGAGGATACCTACAGCAAAGAGTGCCCAGAATCAGTGTGGACCCCATGAATGGTGTCCCTTGGACAGGGGCAACCACGCTGCTCTTTCCAAGCTAAACCAGGCCAGGAATGGCGCAGGACTCTCCAGGAATAACTGAGGGACCACCCTGAAACTGTCTTTGCCAAAGGGTCTTCCATTTTCAACCATGTCCCTGTCAAAACCCGTTATCTCAGAATATACTTTGACTTCTCTTGCTGTTCCCCCACCTGCAACATGCCCTGACAGCTTTTTTTTTGTCCCCTTGTTTGTTTTCCAACAAGACTGGTAGATTTGGAGGGGGGATTAATTCACGTGCTCTCACGTACGCTTCCATCTGCCCATCCTGTCCTCCTCTCACGCACACATCTTATTCTTCATTATAAAACAGTATATTTAATTACACCTTTCTTTTTCGCAACTTCCTCTGCTTCAGCTCTTACGTGTCAAGAGAAACCCTTGTGCATACAATGCTCTCTCCCAGAGCACTTTCCCACTCAGCTCCTTTCGTTCCTCCTGTCTTTTCCCACCAGCTGCTCTTGGCAAATGCCTCATTCAAGCAAACATTTCCCCTGCAGAAATTCAAAAGGTCTCCATTTTCCTCTTTACAGTGCAACAACTTTGCTGACATTTTTCAACTTCTCCCTTCTCAACTTTTCTGGGAAATCTCAAAATGATCACAATTTTTTCAAGTAAAGGTGGAGACCTTCAAGAGAATATTACTCTGGATGTGCTGTGGTTCTCCAAAGGGAAAGCAGAGAGCCATGCTGCTTAGAGAAAACTGAGCAGAACTGCATTAAGCTTAGCAGGAGCCTGAAGTGGCACCAAAAGGCCTCCCACTGCTTCTGCTAAATCAGTCCATTTGCCCTGCTGCTTCAAAACACCCTTCCTGGAGTGCTCATGCCACTAACCATAACCTCCTCCAGCATGAAGTGGAGAAGGCTCAAGCCCTGGGCTTTGACAGTGAGCTGCACAGAGGCAGCTGAACAGGCTGTGAGAGGCAGAGGTGCCCTGCCAGAAACCGAGACTAACCAGGGAGCCACCAGCACATGGTGCACACTCAAGGTAAAGCAGGAGAGAAGGTAACAACTGTACAACCCCCAACATCCCCATCAATCCAGGGCTTTCAAGGGGAAGGACGCTGAGTAGAAAAGCTCCTTTGCATTAGATACCACCAAGGCGTGGTCAAAATCAGGGGGAGGATTCCTAGCATGGGAAGACTTCCACCGTCTTGCAAAATAAAGGTGGTGAGACATGTTATTCTGGATGTGTCGTGCTGCAGCAGATAACTTGTTATGCTGTAAACCACAGGAATTACACTACTCTCCCAGCACAGCGTTAAACCTCTGCATCCCAGCACTTACCTTGTCAGTGTTCCTCAGAATCAGTGGCACTTCATAGACCTCAAAGGGGACGTAGTTCTGAAATACCACCTCTGAAGGAAAAGGCTGAAGCAAGCTCTGGTCCAGGTCAACTGCTGAGAACTGGAGAGGCAAGACAGAGCGGAGAGACGAGGGTCAGCTGCTGGCAGAAAGATTCACGACAGAATCCTACACCGATCTCCAGTGGAGTACAGTCTCTTGGTGAGTACATCCGCACAGCTCATGCTAGGGAAACAACCTCCCCACCTGTGTTCTGAGCTGATCAAAAGTTTCTGGACCACACTAAGCAGGCTCAAGCTAAGAAGCTCTTTTGGTAGGTGTTCCTCCAGGTTTCCTTCTCCAGAAGGCAAGGCAGCACTTACTGCCAGCAGAGCCCTGTGCTGACGTGGTCACACAGCTCCAGAGCACTTCCTGAAGAGCCACCAGCACTCATGGAGCAAGCGAAACACAAGAATTTACATGAGAGATCTGTACATCTGGCAGCCTGCAAAATCTCACACCCTGTAAAGGTCCCACACATTGTTCCAACCCAAAACATAAATGCACTTGGTTTTGTTAAATCTTTTTAACAAAGCAAAACAAGTAATTACTACAGGCCCTCAGCCTTCAAAGGCCAATGCTGCCACTGTTGAAGGAGTTCCATGACCCCAAGCATTTGGCAGTGACTACACCAAAGCACGAGGTGGCTATTTCACCAGGAGGATGGAAAATGGGAAGTTTGGGCCCTTGTGACCTGCCCCTGCCTTCTCCCAGTATCAGCTAAACTCCAGCAAAACCCACCAACTTCAGCAGAGGTTATTTATATTGACTTAGCGCAGATCAGGACTTCCAACCTCTCACCAGGGAAAAAAAGTTCTACCTTTCCCCAGCAGAAGGAACTCCACCACCACCAGCAGTTTGAAAAGACAACAGGCCCTGGGCACTGAGGTATTCAGATGAGCCGGAGGCACGCCTGTCACAAACACACCCCCTCTTCAAATGTCACATCAAACAGCACGGAAAAGGGCAGGAAAAGGCTACCTTGTGATGGGAGGCTTCACCCATGTCTAGAAGCTGAGTAATCCGGGGCCGCCTCCTCTCCCGGGTGCTGGCCAGCCTCTGCTGGGTGGTAAGAGACATCTCCTTCAGGAAGGCAGAGGGAGTCAGCTGAAATGCAAAACACCAGCAGAAAGGATTTACTTTATTTTTCTTTTCTGCAGAAAGGGTTTTTGTGTTCAAGTACCACTGATCAATAATTTGTGATCACAGTCACTAGGATAGTCCTGGAAGTCCTGTAAATTACCTGCTGAAATGTTTAACATCAGTAAATTAATGATATAGATCTGAATACACACGCTCCAAGCAAGTGGCTCTGTCCCTTTAGCTTCTCCTTCATGAGGTGATGTGACATGTTTGGGGATTTCTGCTCTTTGGGTATTTGTCCCCTCTTGAGTTTTGCTGGACTGAGCCAGAGACCTTTGAAGAGAGCGGGGAGGAGTTATCAGAAATCCCCTAACTCCACCCTTGCACAGTGCTCACAACCAACATGCAGGTGGAGATGGCACTGCTGGGTGAGTCAGAGGAAAGCAGAAGAGCAGTGTTGTGCCAAGACAGAGGTGGAGAGGAATGGGTCCAAGTTTTTGTTATTTCTTTTCCATTAGCACTTGCTTCCTCTCTGTTCTGGCCTCACAGACCCCTCCACTGGGTCACCTCCAGCGAAGGGAGCTCCAGCCAGCAAAGGGGACAGTTGTGGGTGGCAAGGAGGAATCACCCTGAATCCCCACTGCTGTTTGCAGGGCTGCATCTGTGCTCCACACAGGACACGGGATGCCATAAAACAACTCTTTTGGAAGCTATTCTATGTGGGACAGCCGTGTCCTGTCAAGACTCCAGGCAGTTTGAGCAGCCCACCACATGCCCAGCAGCCCAGCGGTGTGGCCAGGGCAGCACTGGCAGGTATGTCCCCGTAACAGAAGGTGTTACTGCCCACACAGCCAAGAGGACGGAAGGAAGCACATTTGTGCTTCAGCTGTTCCCGTGCAATGCCCAGTACATTCCTTTATCTCGGCTCCACTGGCACCTTCAGGCAAGACCCTGGACTTTCCCTGAAGCAACACAGCCCACCCCCCCTGCATCTTGACAGCCCCCTCCAACAGAAGCACAGCAGCAAAGAGGTGGGGAGGTGGTGCCAGGCTCCACAGCGCCCTGACAACAGGAGGGGAAGGCAGAGGAGGGGCAGGGGCAGCTTCCAGCCTTAGCCCAGCTCCTACCCGGCCCCCAGCAGGTACTTACAGGCACACGCCGCTCTGCCTCTCTGACCAGCTTCGGATAACAGTGTACTGCCACCTTTCTCTGGAGTCCATCAGCCATTTTGGGGGATCCCATGGACCGACGAACCTTACCAGTGGCCACGACTAGGAAAACCTGGAAGGAGTAATAGGGAGACTTTAAAAATCCAGAATCCCATTCATGGCAGACCCAAAGGTAACACCTGTGTCTCCAGCCTGTGGCGTCCTTCCTAAGTGGAGACCATAAGGCTGCCCCACACTGTTTTGTAATTAGACCGTATGTAAGTGGCAGAGTTAAGATTCATAGAAGTCAAACTCCATAAAATTATCCCCTGAGCCAAAATAGACTTTTGCTGTGGGGGCACTCCCATGAGCCACAACTATTTCTTTTCATGAACTTTAGCTGTCATCTGATAACGAGATGCACCAAGGCTCCCTTCCAGGAGCCTGCTGGAGAGTCCCCAGCTCCACATACTATCATTTACTGCTGTGGCTCCTGCCTTAAGTCTTCACGGCACCATTTACCCTTCCCGGCATCCCACCTCTGCTATCCTGGCATGGCACCTTTGCATCTCCCTTTTTATTTACACTTTTTTCTGGCATCTGGACCACATTTCAAAGGATTGTTTAAGCTGGAAAAGATCTTTAAGTTCATCGAGTGCAGCTGTAGACCCAGCACTGCCAAGCCCACCAGCCCTTTCCCTGGATGTATGCAGAAGCTGCTGCTCAGAAAATCACCTACGGATTTCAAATGCAGGACTGAGGGCCCCTGCCCCAGACACCCCCCTCTTGCACAAGGGATGCCTCCAGCCCCGCGGCGTGGGGCAGGGGGTGTCACTGCCCCCCCAAGCTCCCCCGCAGCCCCGGTCCCTGCTCCGACCCGCTCCCAAGCCCCCCCACACCCATGGCTGAGCAGCCCGCGCAGCACCGGCACCCAGAGCCGCCCTCCGGCTTTCGGCCATGGAGGGGATGCAGACACCACCCCCCAGCATCCCTCACCTCTCCCACTCCGTGGGGGCTGTGGGGACACACTGACGGGAGGATCCCCACTGCCAGACTGGCTGTTGCCCCCGCTGCCAGGGCAACTGGATGTCACAGCCAGCCCCAACACCACCATGGCAACGGCAGGGATGGGGGATGGGGGCAGCTCTGGGACATGGGGTCAGAGGGCACAGGGATGCTCAGTGCCCAATGCCCCCAGTGAGCACAGCAAGCAGGGCCTGAAACCACCTCCAGCACACCGCCCGGCTCCAGCACAGCCACAGCCCCAGGTGTGTCACCCTGGCTCGCGGCAGCGGCTACAGACAGTCCCTCGCTGACCCCGTTCCGCTGACACATTCCTGGGCCTCACCATGCCTGGAGATGGAAAAGTCCTCAGACAGACCCCCCCCTCTCATTGAGCTCCCTGCACAGGTACACGGGTGCAGCTGAGACAGGGACGTGCAGGAGGACCAAGTCTCTTCCAGGCTCCTTCGCAATGACCAGCCTTATCGGTTCCAAGAAGGCTTGCAAGCCAGCCACAAAATGAATCATCAGCTATCACCTCCAGGGGACAGCCACACGTTCAAAAAGAGAGCTGAAATTTCACCACCATGGATGCTCAGGACCATGGAGTCAGAGGAGCTACAGAGTTTATATCGCTGCCCCCTCTCCATTCCTGGGCTTGGACATACCCACCTCTGCTCCCTCAGGCACCAATAAGCCCCTCTTCCCTTGCCAACACTCTCCCTGCCCCATGAGCTCCCCTCTGCTTTCCTGCATAATATCCAGCTGTCACCAGTAAGCTCAGCTTGGAGCCACCATTCCCAGCTCACACTTGGCTCTCAGCTGGCTGCCTGCGTTTCTGACTCCAAGAGGACATAGTTACTGCGTACTCCTTGGGAGAGGGAAACCAACTTGGAGAGGGAAACCAACTTGGAGAGGGAAACTAACTTGGAGCCAGGAACGTGGAGCATCATCGGACCGACAGAACATCGCCGGATCCCTGGTCGTGGTGGTGGTAATTAGTTACGCCTCTACCATGTTCTTGCTTAGGGATTCCGACCTTTTCCTTTTTTTCCTCTCTGTCCTATTGCTCTAATTAGTTGTTATAGAAAATAAAGCTTATAAGGTTATGCAGCATCTGACCTCATTTGTGTCTTAATCTCGCTCTCGGGATTGTTTAAGAACCCTCCCCGATATCGGATCGGGACACTCAGCTTCATCCTTCTCACTGTCAGAGACTTCCAATGCCTTCCCTGATGGGGTTTCACTCTCCTTTTCAATGTCTAAGTCAGGTTTTTTATCACCTGAGGGTCACTCTGATGTTCCATTCATTTGCTGTCAATCTGCCTCTCTTCTGCTTCAGTATCTTCATCATACTCTAAAGTACAAGAATCATACTGTGAGATGGAGTTCACAGCTAATGAAGTTCTTTTTAAGCAGGCAGAGGTTAACTTTGTCCATCTCCTTTTGCCTTTGCATTTGCTCAGTCTTTTTAATGCCATGAGAGAATCTAGGACAGGAAACATAAGAGCACATTATCATAAAAAAGCATTGTATTCTTCATAAATAGCATAGTAAAAATGCAGTAAAACTACTGAATTATGCATTAAGTAGGATCAATAACTTAAAAACAACAAACAAAACCATAAGCCACTGAAAGGACTAGAAAAACTGAGAACTGGGCAAACCCAGAAATAAGATGCAAGACAATCTCTTATTACAGGAGAAAAACCTGTTACAACGGAAAAAAAAAAAAAAAAAAAGCGATAGAGAAAGCTGGAAAAAGTTAATCTCCTGCAGCACAGAGTAAGATAAATGTGGATTGACGCAGCTAATCAGCAAAGAAGTGGCTTACAAACTAAATGAACTAAATCCAGCCAAAGGCTGCTGCAGAGGAACATTCTGTCATGGCACTGCTCTGGTACCCCCTTCAGCTCCCAGGTGAAATCCTCATAGAAATGAAGGTTACAACAGAATTGCCATTTTCACCCCAACACAGTCTGGATTCTGTCCCAGGCCACGAGCCTGACAAGCTGAAGTAGCTGACAGCTCTGCTCACATCTGTAGTAAAGACTGGCCCCACGCGTACACATTAAAGCATCCTCCCCTGCCCAGCCAAGCTGCAGCGGTTGGAACCCCAGGCACCAGCGTGCAGTGGTGTCAGCGATTTCCCTGGGAAATTCAGTAATTCCACTGCTACCACCAGCCCACAGCGCGTGCAGCAGAGGGGCAACAAACCCAAACTGTGCCAGAGAGCTGCCACCGCTGACACAGCAGCTGTCCCTCGTGGCCATCACTTCTCACCTTTCCGATTTTACTGCCTACCTCTTTTTCCTTCGATCGGTGCTTTAAAAATACTGAAGTGACCAGTGCCAGGACAGAAATGGAGAGTATCTGATGCAGAACCAATTAGGCAGGTAAACGGTTACCCAGACAATGACAATTAAGGGAATAAGGAGATTATTTTTCTGTGTTAAAGATCACTTGAAATTCCCAGTGCATTGCTGGAAGCGAGGCGACCTGAGGTAACTGTCAGAAAGGTGCCCCCCTCCTGAAGGAAAAAGGCTTCATTAATCACAAACACAGATCCACGGGGACATGGAGGCTGGAGCAGGTGTCCCCTGAGCAGTGCCTGGGGCACTGTGGTGGAGAAGGGATGGAAAGAGCCTCGGAGAACACAACACTTCACGCCCCCTGGCAGCAGAGCAGAGGAGACCAGAACACTTCAGCTAGCACTGCATCTTGCTGACGTTTTGCTGCTAAGTGCTCTTCCCACCTTCCCTCCCCTCCTGTGCCCAGCTCTGAGCCTCCCCCCTCCCCAGTCCGTCCCCCTGCACCCACCACGGAGCAGGCAGCAGCAGCTCCCCCACGGCCTGCCCCTACAGCCGCCATCTCCTCTCCACTTCCCCGCGCTGAGGCCCTGCCTCCCTCAGGAACTCGCCTCAGACTCCTGTCTCCCTGCCCACACCCACCCCGGTCCCTCCTCCTGCTCTACTCGTCCTCCGCCTGCTGCCCTTCTCCTCCCTCATGGCTGTCCCTGCCCTGTGCCCCACTCCCTTCCTGCTTTCCCATCTCCCCCAGGCTCCTGTTGCAGCCTCTCAACCCTTCCTTACTCACTGCCTTGGCTCGCAAAACTTTCTCATCCTGGTGCTTGGCCCAAAGAAGCCCCACTGATTTTATCACCCAGACACAGGCATCACCACACTCCTCGCACCAGGTATCCTCGGAGAGGATGCCCCAGGCAAAGGCGGAGGCCCGCAATCCCAGACCATCTACAGAATCTCCCGTTTTTCATCCCCTGCTTCTCTTTTGCAATACCGTACCATTTTTACCAATGTCTTCCTGACTCTCTTCACGCTCACACTCAGATAGTTTTTTCCCTTCTTCTCTGTTCTCCTGTCCAGTCTCCATTTTGTCCTCAACAATTGGCACACTCGCTTCTGTTATAAATTTAGAAGCCAAAAGCCAAATATAGTTTTACAATTTTATTGAAATAAGAACAAGGAAAACCACACGGGGTACGCCGGGGAGTCTCCGCTCCACCACCGACGCACACCATGTAAACAAACCCACCCCCTTTATAGATTTTTTTAATACATATTCATAAGATAGGTGTGTTTAGTCCACGGAAGCATAGTGGAGTTTCTTGGATCTTCTCAGATTCTCTGGTGTTGTTGAGGGGGGGTTCTCTGGTGTTTTTCCATTCCTCCTCTTCCCGCCAAAACAAAGGTCCTTCCGGTACTTCTCCAGTAAAACGAGGCTCTGTCTGGTACTTTTCCACTAGGTGCAGTAACAACATCGTCAAAACACCGACACAGCCATTGCATAGTCTGAGATGACAAAGACTCCAACCCATTAAAAGACAAAACCACAATAACTTTTCTCTTAGCGTATATACACCATAAAATATTTACAACACATACATGTATGTTAAAGGTCAATATATTTCATAAACATGAATCATCATCACATTTATTACACTTCCATACCTGGTGAGATGACTAACACTGAATATTTGCTTGTTTTTTGCTCAGTGCTATTAGTTGGCTCAACACCCCCGCCGTCTCCCCTGGATTTTCCTCACAGTCCTCCTCCATCTTTTCCTTGGGTGGCACTGACTTTTTGTCCAGGTGCGCTGCAATAACACACCTATAAAACAACAAGGAGAATTGGAAAGTATCGTGGTTTTCTTTGCATGAACAATGGAAGGGCAGCAGGCAGTGAGCCGTTCAGCTCATTATTAGCACTGGAACCGGGTACCCATCTGCCTCTGTGCTGCCACCAGACCACATGGTTACTGATAACCATTCCCTTGGAGAAGCACCCTGAAGTTCTCAAGAGCTCCACTATCACAGATACAGTTCTTCCTTGAAGGAGAGTGACACTGTCCCCACTTAAAGGTGATGGTTGAAGTATAAACTGATTGAAATCAAAATGATCATAAGTGTCCATTAATTTCAAGCTACACCAGCAATGATCTGTGAAGATATAACCACTGAGAAGGGCAGGCAAGCACCAAGGCAGACGTGTGCTGGATCCTGATCCTGCTGCAACACCCAGTACAGTGATAACTCTGGTTTTGTTTTTTAATCTGTCTGCTGGGTCTAATAACAGCAGGGGAAGAGGCAGACAGACTGAATTATTTCCAGTTATTTATTTTCTGTTTCTGCATTTGACCTGAAGGAGATGTGGAAAGAGTTGTCATTTACGGGGAAAACCTGGTAATGGAGACGGGTTTTAGTCGCCAGATAAGGTTGGCTGGACTGACACCAAGCCAGGAAACAGAGGTATCACTAAGAGGGGAAGTGGGACAAAGTGGGGACACCTCAGGAAGAAATGAAACAATTTCTGGAGACTATAGTCATTAGAAAATTCACTTCAAATCCTTCCAGAAATCACACAATAGCTGAAATTAGGGCATTTCCTAAACTCTGTAGCCACTATATCCATTCTGAATTCAGATGCTTTTCACTACTTCCAAGATACTAAGTAAAACATTTACATAAATCATGTCCAATGGTGGATTGGAGTAGAAAAAACATGGCACAATAGAATTTTTTCCCCTCAGAACTTGGTCCGTATCTGAAATATAAGAGCATAACTCTGTGGAGATTCTCTTCTTCCAACTGCTTGATGAACTTTCAAAATTACTTACAAAAAAACGTTTTAAAATTACCCATGTGTGCAGAATTTTACTTGTCTGGCATGACTTAACATTCGCATGAAAGGAAGATTTTATAAAAATTTAAGCTTCTTGGTAAACCCTCAGCTGTTGCTCACATTGACTTTTGCCCAAACCCTAGAGTCTTCTGCAGAGATTTGTTTTCAGAAAGATGGCTAGCATTCAGTACTGTCTTATTCTGCAGCAGGGGTATTACAGCAGAAACCCACCTTCGAGGCAGAGCTGTTAAAAATAAATTATCCCGTTCTCACAATCACAAACAACCCCCCCCAAACTACAGTTAAGTAAGCAGCGCTCTTCACACTTATTTCACCAGCACTTGCAGGAGAAGCAGGCGAGGGGTGTATGTGTGGCACCCCCGGCCACCGCTCCGCTCGGGGCTGAGGAAGAGCTGCAGGGTGCCAGAAAGATGACAAAAGGGAAAACAAAAACTTGAACTACTGGGCTATGAGGTCCTTGTGAGCAAAGCGCACTTGTCTCCCTACCTGTTGCAAGGAGATGCTCCCTCCACACTGAGAAGTCTGAAGTGTCCATATCGGCTTTTCACCGCGGAGGGCCTCTGGTTGTATTCACAGCAGCATTTCAATCTGTCCACTTGTGGCCCATTGACAAAAAAGGTGAGGCTGAACGGGAAACCTCGGTGCTTCCTTGACATGAACTGAAAGGTCTCTGCAGTCGCAGACAGGATTCAAAGAAAAGAGGTTATGCTTTGCTGTCAGCCTGTTGCAATCGTCCTATCTCACCTGCATCACCACCAAAGCACCCAGCCCTCTGAGGCCAGGTACTCTGGTTCTCAGCTGCATTAATTAGTTGGTAATGCCCCACCTCCTCCCCACACAACAGCCTCGTCTCTCTCCAACCCCGGAGCGCCAAGATGGGCACCCCTGTGACAAGCCACTCCATTTGGGCACTCACAGCCACAGAACAGAGAGCAGAGCCTCCCATCTCCACAAAATCAACTCCGCCCTTGCCTTACAAGAGTGGGCATCGTGCACAGGAGGTTTAGGATTCCTGGCACGGGCCCACCCGGTGCAGGGCAGCAACATGTCAGAGCCCCCTCAGTGGGACACACCTGGCAGGGGCAGCTGAGGCTCCAGATGAGCACAGCTCACCATCAGTGGCTCTGGGCCCACACGGACGCGGCTGGGCTCAGGGAACACCGGGTACCAGAAAGATGCTGCTTCTGGAGCCGTTCCAGGCTGCTCTGCAAGGGCACTGCTTGGCATCCAGGTGGGAGGGCACAGGGGCGGCCACCCCGCTCCGTGCGGGGGGGATGGGGTTGTACCCCCTTTACACTGGTCACTCCCTCAGGCCTGTGAGCGGGGCTGGGGACAAGAGGAGCAGGCACAGAGGACACAGCGGGGAGCCAGCCCAGGAGACCCGTGAGCTGATCCGCGGGCACACTCCCACGCCTCGGGGACAGGCGGGAGCACAGGGAGCTCTGCACCATCTTACCACACCCCCTGAAAACGGCAGCACAGGGGTTCTGCGAGCTGGAATGAGGGGTGTCATCGGTGGAATCACTCCTCCTCACAACTGACAATCTGCCAGCCATCGCCCCTTCCCAGGATCCCAGAATACAATTCTCCTTTTACTGGTGCTATGGAATTGCACTCACGTCAAAGAGATGGGAATTGGGCTCCCATTATGTACTTTTCCTTCTGGAGTAATAAGCAACACGCACTGACATGTTGTAGCAAGTCAGAAACAAATAACCCCTATTTAAGGACACTTTGCTTCTACTACTACCACTACTACTTTATTAACGGCACAGCTCTATATGAAATTATCCTAAGCTACAGAATTTTGTTAAATTAGTTCTCTAAATTCCTTCTACCATAATTTGCAGAAGTCATTCTAACCTCAGCTTCAATCATGAAACAGTAGATCCAGATTTAGTGTGGAGACAGATGATATAAAAAGCCCTGGATGCATATATCTTGACTGAGCTCAGCTGAAGTCATTTTGATAACATGCCAACATTTTAGTAAAAAAAAAAAAAAAGTTGGCAGAATCGATATGAACTCTTTCTTACTCTTCATCCTTACCTCCTTCCAACAGGCTGCCTTTGTATACACACAGGACTTCCCCTCCACAGTGCTGCTGATAGACTGCGATTTCATTTCTGCCATCAGTGTACTGGCCAGGTAAAAAGAAACTTTCCCCCACAAAGGCCATGGTGACAAACACGCCGCTGCGTACTGGGGACCTGGAGACTACTCCAGAATTCTGCAGCAGGAAATACACAAAAAATGCAGTCGGCTTCCAACTCTAACAAAAGGTGAACACAAAGAGCATGTAGGTGTGGTGTACACGTGAGGCTTCCAGTCTTTTTAAGACAGGCCTTGAGCTGCTTAAATTGGAAAGTGCTTTGTAAGAGGCAGAAGGGGAGGAAAATATTTCAAACTGAAAATCCACTGCATCGAATTGCCCAAAATTGCAGGGACCATGGACCCATATTGCCCCTCTCTATCCGGGGTTCCCACAATTCCCTTTACAGGAGCCAAAACTGGCTGAAGATAGAGTGTAACAGATAAAATTTTTCATAAGCACAGGGCATTTCACATATCCCTCTGGAGTTCTGGTCAGAGACAGGACCAGACTGACTAAACCAGAAGGCTTTAGGTTAGAAGTCCCATGGTTTTTCTGTTCAAGCACCTTTTTTTCCCCCTAGCTGATGAAAAACACCAAATGTTTTAGTATATAGAGAGATGGGTGGCAGTTACATTATTTTAATAGTTAGGAATTTTCTGTCTTTCAAAAATTCAGTGAATCTTTATGCAAACTAGGTATACACATCTTTCAGCATTAGGCAAATACACCAACAAGGAAGATTATATACCTGCACATAAACAGAGACGTAGACAGAGCTAACCTACCTTCCTTGGAGGTTGCTTTGCCTCACTGGGTACAGTGATGGGATGCGGCTGTCTCCCTCTGGTTACCCCAGTTCTCACCGTGTTTCCACCTTTTGGCTGGGGTGGAGGTGGCGGTGGCATCAGACCGGTTTTAATGATGGGAGATGTATCAGTCACGCATTTCACCACATTCGGACCTTTTACTTCACTCCTCTTCTCCTGTGAACACATTTTAACCAGGTTAAGCAGGTTATGCAAATCCAGCGATCAAGTGAACTAACCAGGGTTTGATGGCTCTTTACACCTAGCAAGACACATACTTCTAGAACAATTCCCTAACTCGATGCTTGCAATTTTGTTCACAAAAAGATTTCTCTGCTAAACCCCCTTCTTTTAATTTGCAAGGCAACAGGAAGACTGCTTGGGAGTGTCACCCCCATAGGTATATACAGCACTGTGAGCCGGGGACTGCTTGTAACCGTGCAGAGTTCTGATCCCCAGCAGACAGAACCCCACAGCATTGCTGCGCTCCCTCCGCTGGCAAGTAACATCATTTGGCATCAATTACCCAAGATGTGGTTCAAAATGCTTCTCTCCCATTTGTAGGGGAGGTCTAGTCCTCCTTCGGGATGAAATGCAAACAGAGGCCCCGAGAACCAAAAGGCACCTCTAGAGAATAAATTCTGCAAATGTCGTGTGCTCTGGGTCCGAGCTCTGTGTCATGTCTGCATACCCTGTGACTGATCTGGCTGTTTTGCCAGCAGGGAGCATTAAGTAGAAAATGCCAGCAAATTCTGGGGAAAGGATCGTGCCCATCACAATACAGAGCAAATTCAGAAGGGAGCTATTTGTACAGTGTCTGGCAGGCAGTGGTCACAGCCCCATTCCAAAATCCCCCAGTCCCATGGAACTCCTAACGCAAAACCAATTACAGAATGTTTTTCTAGAACAGAGGTCCAAATCTCACCTGAAAGTAACTGTGTATGTATCAAGATCATGTCTGGCTACTCCAAAAAGCTCTCATTCTCTGAACCTGCTAGTGTGACTTATCAGGAGGAATGGTAAAAAAGAATAAAGGAGGTTTTTTTTGCTGCTTTGCAGCTGTAGATGAAGATGAAAACTTGTAAGACTGTGTGAAAATATTCCTGAGTTCTTGGTGTTATCCAGGTGGATGCCTCCCTCTCTACATAACAGATAGTCTACGTGGAGGGAGAAAAGTATGAATGCATAGATTTTATACTATAAAAGACATGCCACTGCATTTTTCCTCACTGTGATCAAGAACTGGGCATTAGACCAGTAAGTCAATGTCTCGAAAATTAAGGGGATGTTAAAAAGGAGAGTTTAAATAAAAGCTGATTACCGTTTGGAAGGCATGTTGCCTGCGGTATACAGTTCTGGGAACTACAGTACAGAAGCAGCATTATAAAGATATCCCTAAAATCACATTATTTTCAGAATGAACTATGGCCTCACCCTGCCGGCAGGCTGTTGACTGGGTTCAGGTGCCAGGCACCTCTTTTCAGATGTTGAAGTCTTTACAGCCTCTGCTGCAGCGCTGATAGGATGTGGTGGGAAATGGAGTGAGTGTTGCAGATCTCTTGGAGCTGTATGTGGTTGCCTGGAAGTCTAGAACAGGAAAAAGAAAACAGCTACAAAATCTCAGTGTACAGTTTCCAGTGCAGAGCAGCATCATAAAGGAAAAAAAAAAAAAAAAAAAAAAAAAAAAAAGCACCGATCATGATATTTGGAAGGGATGAGTGATTCTCAGGTACCTTCAGGAAAGTAGATTTTCTAGTCTGCCTCTGAAGAGCCAGAACCCTTTAGGCATCTCTCACTGAGCATCCAAATACTGGAGCATCTAGAATAATTCTTGACCATAAATACAGGTATTGCTTCTGTCTCTTCACAATGCATCCTTGAAGCAAACATGTGAGCTCACAGACACTCACAGGAACGCAGCCGTGAGCTGCCTTTTGGTGACTTCAGCACACACACACACAGAGAACGCACCACCAAAGCAGGCCTATTGTTCAGAATTCAGCATTTTAATGTTTTTAGTTTATCTTCTCCTTGTATACCCTTGTGGTGGTTTAGGCCCTGTCAGGACCAGAGACCACACTGTCGCTGTCCCTCCCCCAACCTCGGACCGGGCAGGGCTGGGAGTGAGGCACAAACCCCGGGGTTGACATAAGGAAAAATTTAATACAACAGTGCAACAAATAACAATCTGAACAACAACAACAGCAATAACAATATCAATAAACATAACAACAGTAAACAAGACAAAGGATATACAGAGAAATACCGCAAGGGACACAGCCTGCCCGCCACACGTGCCTCCCCAGACAAAAGCCCACAGGAAACTGTTCCCGCGCTCGGCCCATGGACCTGACGGCAGCACAGTATTGAATAACCCGGGTAGAGCCTCCTCCCCACTGCTCGGGAAACTTAACCCTATCCCAGCTGAACCAGGACAGCCCTTCAGAATACCAAGTCAAAAACCTGTTTCTCTGAGTTAACTCGCTGCCTTAGAACAGGCAGACTCCTTGGATCGGTGTTGATGCGATGATGTCCACCATCACAATAACTACAGGCCCAAGTGTCCTCTTTCTGCAGACAAGGTTACTCAGGACTGATAATCTCATTTCAGTCTGCACCCACAATCATCACTGAAATCGAGAACCAGTTAAAACTGAACCATATATTTGACCTTTGACCTTAGATGTTAATATCCTTGTATTTCAAGAGTATATTAATGTTCCTTCTCTGCCTGTTAACAGAGAGGAAGAGGTTTCTGAGCCAGAGCTCTGAAGCATGGCCTTCTGGATGAGCTTTAGTGGTACTTCACCCGTTCACCTCTGTTTTCTAAAAGACCTCCATTGCTCTCGGGATTTCAGAATGTGTGTGAACACGCCTACAGCCCCAGCACTCACTAACAATAGTTAACGTACTGACACTGGCCTAGCCTTGGGCGACAAGGCAGGGAAAAGGGAAGGATTAATGCAGATTTATCACAAAGCAAAGATTTTACTTATTTTCCCTAGGTTCTGATGTGCCATTCATGCAATATCGGCTTCTGCAGATTTCTCTTTAATGACACAACCCTGCAAACAGGAGGTTGGCCCCAGGGGATGGAGGATGGGGCAGTCAGTGCTCTAGAATAAGCTCAGACCTCACAGGCCTACGTGCACACCTGTGCTGTGTGTGCTCACAACAGCGCCTTCGGGGTGGCTCACTCGTCACTGGGAGTGGCCAGCTGGTTCTCTGGCAAGGGGAGGGAAGAGCCCACAATGATTTCTTGCACTGGGCTGTAGGTGAGGTAAGTGCATAGATGAGGCATTTCCTACTGGTCTTCTGGATGGTTCCCCCTAAAAGAAGAGAAATTTATGTCTCTGAGGTACTAAATTGTGGGAAAGAGGCAAGTCAATATCGGCCTGCCAGCTCTAACAGCAATGCCTGAGCCTGCCTGCCAGCTGTCTTTCACTGGACAGCTGTGACACTGGGACACCTGGTTAAGGAAGGCAAGGAAATCATGGGGAGGAGAGGGACAAGACTTGTTCCCACCTCTGACTCATTTCCCTGCAGCCCTCTCCAGCTGCTGATCCTCCCAAATTCAATTCTTCTGCCTGTTTCTGCGTATCTCCCGATTCTTGGCTTGGTTGAAGGTCTCTCTCTTTTAAATTTGAGTGCATCTGCCACTTCATTGCTCTGCCTACTGCCCCACCCTCCCTTCTTTTCTCAAAAGCCCCAAGGCGGGCTGACCACCCTTCTGGAAACAGGCAGCTCTGTCTCTCATCCTCCTTTGCTCAGTCACCTGTCTTTCTCCTTTCAGATTAGCTACTCAGCCGAATTCACTGAACATATGAGCTCAGGGTTAAATTACACTGCTAACTGCAGCCAGGTTCCTGTGTCCTGGCGTGGTACCGCAGCAGAGATACACATCACGCATCTGCGGGTGTTGTGGTTCGAGCTCGCCGGCAGCCAAACGCCAGGCAGCTGCTGACTCACCCCCAACCCTGGGGCATGAGAGAGGGAATTGGAGGGGTAGAGGCAGGGAGACTCAGCGGTTGAGATAAAAACAGTTTAGCAATTAAAATGAAATAAGACAACAATAACAGAAAGTATAAATGGGTAACGCACGAGGCGCCTGCCACCGCCCGCTGACTGATAAACAGTCTGTTCCCAGCTGGTGATCCCAGAGAAGCCAAGATCCCGAAAAAGCCATCCTGGAAGTGAGAGAGAACCAACCACTTCCCAGCCGACCCTCCTTCACATCCCGAGCGTGACGTTACACAATAGGGAATATTCTCCTGGCCAGTTTGGGTCTGCTGCTCTGGCTGTGGAAACTCCTTGATCTCTTGGCAGCAAATGCACACATCCCTGTGCTATCAGCATTCTTCTGATACCAAATCCCACACTGAACCCAAACCACAGCACTATTCTAGCTACTCTGAAGAAAAATTAACTCTGTCCCAGCTGAAACCAGGACAGCAGGCATCTCTCCTACGCTTCTCACCGAAGGAAACACTTTGGGTTTATGTTCCAAAATCACCAAGTCCAGACTCCCTTCACAGGCTGCCTTAGTCGCTGCTGCCACTGGTGTGACCTCTGCCAGCAGGACTTCAGTCAGTAAACGGTGCCTTTGCAACTACCGCAGCCATCGCTGTCTGACATGAAAATCTCTTCCTTCCTTTACCTCATAAATGTATTCTTTAAGATCAGAAAGATTTGACATTGGTTTTCAGCTGCTCCAAGCAGCAGCTAGCTTGACAATGCATTCTTCTCAACGGACACAGGCTCCTAATAGAGAAATAATATGCTGAGTACATTTCAGCCAAAATGAGAACAATTTTTCCCATGTGAGTCCAAGCGACTTCATGGGGAGAAGAACCATTGACTTCTGTGGGACTTCCATGACAACTACAGAACCAAGCTCTACCTACATGACACCAAAGCAAAGTCTTCTGAAACCTCTTTTCCTTACTTACATGCTCGTTCTGCTAAATAGTGTGTGGAGAGGCAAACAACTGAAAACATGAGCTCAGTGTGCAGCTGCAGTCAAGAGCAGACTGTCTATAATTACTAGAACAACTGCAACATGTCTCCTGAATTATTCATCCTGTTCTGGTTCCCCATTTCAAAACAGAAACAGTAAAACTAGAAGAGGTTGGAAAATGGCAACAGCAATGAGAAGCCTAGAATGGCTGAAAGCCTCAATAGACTGAGAGTCTTCAGCTTGGAAAACTGAGAAGGAATATAAAAAGGTACCTAAAAACTACAAATGCCTTGGAAAAGAACAGTTATGAACTCTTTTCATAAAGAGAACAATAGAATTATCAGACAGCAGATATATTAATTATTGTGCAGAAATGCGAGAAAGTACCATTTCCTACAACTCATAATTCCATAACTAAGAACACTGCAGAACCAAAATAATAAGTAGATTCCAAAGGAATTAGGTGCATGAATGGAAGTTCATGAACTGCTGGACAGAGGAGATGTAACCTGGGGCAGGAACATCCTCTATTTATCTGCTTCTTGTACTTTTTCCATAAACCTCAGAGACAGAGCCCTTGGCCCAGCGAGTCTCTGGCCTGACCCATGGCTGTGGTTTAACCCAGGGAAAAGCTGCCGCATCCCCACAGCACTCGGGAGCACTCCAGCCTTACCTTGACTTTCTGTGCCTTCTCCTTCCTGCCATTCTCTGCACGTTTCTTCTCTGCTCCTGGATGATGATGACGCTATCAGTGTAAGAGAGAAACCTCGTTATTGGACATTATGAGATGTCACTGAAGGCATTAACACTTGCTTCTGCTCTGCTTATCATCTGCCTGCTCCCTGGTCATTACCCTCACCGAGCCCTATTACAAAACCACTGTTGATTCAAACCATTTGCATGACACCTCTGTAAATTAACATCGGCAAACAACAACTGAGCATCTGTAAAGTTGGAGGGACCAACTCCATTCTTGATACGTAACAGGAATGTGCCCAAATTTCGTGTTCAGGTGAGATTTATGACCATGTTCCAACTACTTTGTTTGGATTAGAATTTTTTTTAAGCCAAGTAGCCCCGTGAATATCATCCCACAATCTGATGAGAGCCAAAGGGCAGCGCGAGAGCCAGGACAGTGTACGCTCTGCTGGCGGGGTGAGCTGACAACCAGAGGCCAGCGGAGGTTTCACCGTTTCCACACAGCACGACTGTCCTTTTCCTGGCAGGACAGAGCCTTTCAGGGCACCACAAGGGTGCAGCTACCCCACACAGTCCAGTAGGAGTTCACAGCCCCTGGCTGTCAGCAGGGGAGTACCTGACACGGCTCACATGTCGCTGGTAAACACGTACCTCTGTGTCAGGGGCCTCATTAAACATCGTGCCAGCCAGGCACTTCCGTACACGGCTCTGACGTTCCTCCCGTATAGCATTAAGCCGGTATTCCTTTTCTGGTATTATTTTCCCACTCCTTGAAATCTGCCGTAAACAAATACAATGTAACTAAGACAGACAAGAGAGCACAAGGTATGTTTTTAAACAGAATGCAATTTCCCAGAAAGGATACTTTCTCCCCCCAGTTAGTTACCACCTCTGCTTCTGCCACGGTGCTGCAACTCGCCTTCCGAGCACAGAATTGTCATTGCCTGGACCCCGTGGAACCCATCAGCCAGCTGAAGAGGGCGGGAGAGCCCCAGTCACATCTAAAAGCTGTGGGCTCAGCCTTGCCCTTCAAGGGCCGCTGCCCAAGTCAGTGGAGGGCAGTTAAATACTTGCCTTCCTACTGCATAGAGGTTGCATCTGCCTGTGCTAAACAGTTACACCCAGGAGTGCATAAGTAGTTTTTAAAGTGTTAAGCACATTCACTTTTACCAAATCCTTCTGTTTTCCATTAAAGTCTTAAAAAAATAACACTGAAGCTATTTAAACAGCTATTAGAGTCAAAGATACTTAGATGTCACATTTTAAAAACCTAAGAGAATCAATGCTGCTGGCGAATATGGTGTAGGGGAGAACTTTGGGATTGTGTGGCTTTGATCTTGCACAGGAGAACTACATGTGTTTGGCTGGTCAAATTCTTACCAATGACAACACATACCTCTAACAAATGAACAACAGGACTATCAGTGATTTTATGTGCACAGTATTAAGAGAAATGATTCTTTTTTCTCAGAAAAGGAAATTTTTCAGTCTCACCAGTCCTGATCTCTGAAGATGTTGTCTCATCCAGGTATTGTTGAAGTATTCAGTCAAGTTTTTGTCCTTCAGGCTGTTGTAGGTTTCAAGTAATCTGAAATAAAAGCAATACAGACGTATATAAGCTCCTTGACAGCCACATTATTACAGCTGAATTTACAAAGACCTGTCCAATACTTTGCTGCACAAAATACTGTCTTGTTGAATCGTGCCCAACATTTTGCCAGGTAAATGCCCATCAGATTATGTAAAAGCAACATCTTATGGCCTCTGGAAGATTCCTATCAGAAACAAGGACCATCTACAGCAGACAGAACAGCTCAGTACCAAACGGCGTAGCACCACCAAGGCACAGGCTCCAGCAGAGCTCAGCCCTGGAGGTCTCCTCTGAGACCAAACCCCACAACAGCCTCCTCAGATAACACTCTTCTGAGATTTTAGATGGTGCTTCCAAGGCTTGAGAGAGACCAACCAGACAGCACTGCCACGGCTCTGAAGTGCTGTTCGGTCCAGCAGACTCCCGGGACTACGCTGCTGTAGAGGCCAGAAGGGTTGGGCTGGGATACTCTCTGCTGGGCTCTTCCCCTTCCCAGAGCCCTGGCACAGGGGTGCCAGGTCCTCCTCTGTAGCCAGAGCAATAAAAAATAACCCAAGGCCTCCTCAAGTCTCTTCCAGTTCCCAAGTCAGTATGCTGACGGTTCTCTAATGCGTACCTTGAACAATCCAAAGTGAACAAATTGCATCTTTTTCCTATTAATTGGTGAAAAGCTGCAAGACCAACAAAGGAAGAACCAGACCACGCAGTCTATCCAAGCAGGACCCTCCCCTGCTCTACCCAAGGCACGTCCTGCATCCCTGGAAAGCCAACAGAGGGGAATCATCACAGCTACCACAGAGCAGAGGTTCCAAAAAGTGAACCTCAGGTATGAGCCAAACACAAAAACTGAAGCATCCATAATTAGCAGACACATTTTTAGAGAGTTCTTAACACAACCTTATCTGACTTCACTTTCTGGAAGACAGGAGAAATAACACAGGAAGTGACAGTAGGCTTAAGCTTTTAATACTCTAAATCCACTCACATTTGTGAGTGAATAAATTTATGGCATAATATGTTCATCCTGACCTTTGGGTTCTCTAGGCAGGTTGTGTTTTAGTTACACAACAAGAGACTGAACTCCTTTGTTTCCTTTGGCTTTACATTTAAATGCCACTGTACCTGTATTACACATCTTTCAGTGGGATAATTCAGGATAAATGTCTGTTGCTAGGCTGAATTACCACACACAAAAGTATACTCAACAAAAGATATTAAAAAAAAAAACCAAACACACACACACACAAAAAAAACAACGAAAGAGATCATGGATTTACAGGAATTCTATCTGGGGTTTCACAATAATCTCACAGGTAGCCTACCAACAATAAATTAAAGAAACGATTTAGCTCACCCTGTTATGCACATTGATGAAACACCGGTACTACAGCAACTGTTCTACATTACTTTTTTAATCCACTGTTTGCATTCGCTTTTGAAACCACCACATTACATCAGTTGTGCTAAGGATTGACTTGTGGTATCACCTGGCAGCTGCATACGGTGGCAGAGGAGAAAGTCAATCCAATTCCTTTTCATTGACTTCCTTCCATCTAACACTTCATGGACCATATAACCAACTAAAATGCAACTCCCACCTGAGCAGAGGGATGTAGCAACTTCAAAGAAGTCTGTACATGTATTTTCTCATTTAAATGATGAACAGGCTGGTCCTCAAAAATGCTGAATTAAATTCAAGGTTCAAAAGGGTACTGGAGGGAATGAGGAAATGTTTTGGGCCTGAACCAAGACCCATTAAACCCCTGGAAACAAGGCAGCTGGATGCCCTGGGCTTCGGCAGAGGCATGGTGCGGTGGGCAGCCTGAGCTCTCTGCCAGGGAAGGCCCCTCTCGCCCAGGAGAGCGGCACAGGGCCACCGCACGGAACACGCTGGGCACTGGTGCCGGCGCAGCATGGATCTGAGCTCATTGCTGGCTCCACAGAGCAACGCAGCCTGGGGCTTGTGCAGCGCCTCCCCAAGAGCAAGTTATCGGAGAAATGTCACGGATTTCCTAACTCCCATGACCGTCAGAAACAAGCTCTTGAGCAAAGCAGACCCCTGGTCTCATTTAGTCCTCTGCTCCTGCACATGTTATCAGCAAAGGCATAACAGAAGTTCATGTCTGAGAAGTTTTCTTCCAGACATTTCACTATTTAAGAACTACATACGTATGTCATCTCTAAATCCTCTACAACAGATAGAAGTGCAGAACTGACAAAAACGTGTGTTAGAAAAACATACAGCAAATGAAAAGAATCAGTCTTAAACAGTACTGAACAAAATGTTTGTACATACATCACAGTTGTATCATAGTAAGACCAAAAAGTTGAGGTTTTTGTATATATTTCGGGGACTTATCTTTCTCTGTTTAAACTGTTTCTTCTTTTCTCTACAAATTCTCGGTATTTACTGGAAATGTTGACTATTTTTCCTAGCACAGAACCTAGACTGACTGACCTGTGGCCTCCAGGACAGGATTCGAAGCTCTTCTCAAACTTAGTATCACATTTGTTTCTCTGCTACCACAGACAGTAAATACTTATCACTGTTAGTTCAGTATTTTCATATTTAGGGTTATTTAGAATGTTTGGATGTTCACTGTTCCAGATTTTTTATTTTATTACCAAGATCCTTTTTTTTTTTTACTTTGCTCGTAATTCTCCTTCACTTGCATCTAATTTTGAGTCGTTCCCCAAATTCAAGCCAAATCAAGAATGATTCAAGTGAAGCAATCTCCTCAAAATGCTTCAGCAGTGATGTTCCAGATGTAGCACTTTTATTACAGTCACTGAGAAATGGTGACATCCCATTTTAATAATACCTTTCCAATGGGCATCCACTTTTTTGTAATAAATGTTCTTTAACTTGCTTACTATCATAGATGAGAATATACTTTATACTAAAGAGTAGATTTTTGGAGTTTCTAAAGGGAAAAGGTCACCATCAAAAAATATCTCTGCTTCTCAGCTGTCTAGAATTTTAAAGTGAGGGACCATATACCATGGGAAAATTAAAGAACTGTCCACTTGGAACTCCCCAATCAGCAGGATTTTTGTTGTATTATCACTGCCACTACCATTTATTACCAGCATCTAGTTTTTCACAGCTGGAGGTGCACAATGCACTCTACTCAGGGCCAGGGCTGTGATTTTTAAGACCTCTCTTGCTCATTTGAAAGGATATCAAGACAAAATCACAGCAATCATCCCATGTCATCTGTGTAAAGCAAATCTTCACAGTTAATAATTTACAGTACAATTAAATCGATGACTGTTCCTCAAAGACATAATCTAAGAGAGCCCCAAAGCTGTAGTTCCTCACTGGTGGAGTCACAAGGAACCGGAGCCCCGGTGTTGTGCGCCCCAGCTAGAGCTTTCTGCCCCTCAGCCAGCCAGCCCTGCCCTTGGGGAGACCACTCCTCACCCCAGCAACCTGCTGGATCTCGCACTGTGTCTGCTGAGGACCCAAACAAGAAAGGCTCATGTGGTTTTCAGGCAGGACAAGTCTAACCACAGGCTGTCAACCACAAATGGCAAGTTCAACACACCTAAGGCAGGGTTACCAGCCCAGCGCGTTCTGCTGGGGAGCAAAGACTCCTCTGAGGAGACGTCCCACGCACCAGGCACCTGCCTGCCATTCCCTTCCTAAGAAACCCTTCAGCCACATCATGTATGTCACACTTTCACAAAGAGATGCTGTCAAGGTCTCCAGAGAGGGAAGCAGATGCTGGCAAAGCAGTTTTCTGCAGAATGGGAATTTGGCGTTAAATCCTGATGGTAAGAACTTTGTGAGTCCCAGCTGGGAATGGCCTAACAGGCCCATGTGGGCCTAGGACTCAAAATATGGTGCAAGTCCACACAGAGAACGGGATTTTGCCATCTACGTGCCAGTACAGGAGTCCAAAAGGTAACTGCTGCCTTTATGACACTTCTCAGGAAAAAAATTTATTTTGTTTGGTGTCTCCAAGCTTACAGCAAGCAAATACAGCCAGTGGGTTCCCCTCTCCGTGAGGGCCATCTGTTCAGAAGACGAAAAGCCAGGAAAAAAATCCCCCGTCTCCACAGAAGGAGGCTGGTGCTGTGTGAGGAGCCAGGGCATTGACCCTCCTGCTCCGAGGGGAGCTGCTGCCTGCAACTGGGCCACCCGTCACTCCGTGCTGCAGCGCAGGGACTTCACCTCGAGGAGCTGCTGTGGCTTCCACAGTTATTAACCTCAACTACTGCTACCGTGCTTGTCAGACACCATGCCAGGACACAGCTACTGAACAAACTGACCTGAGTCAGCAGGTAACGTTTTGATGGGGCTTTGGAGCCCAACGATAATTAATTGGCCTCTTCCAAGGCCACCAAACCCTTAAGCACATACACCGTTTTACTTGGGTGATAGCTACAGGAGGGAGAGGCCACAGTCTCTCCAAAGCACCTTGTACCTTTGCTGAAAACTCCGCAGGACCCCTTCAGCCCTGGCCATCTGGCCTCAATGAGACCACCCCTCACCTTGCCCCACGGATGCACCGCTCACATTCACCTGGCTTTTGTCTCAAAAGACTCACACTACGTCCTTTACTCTTTGTCTACCTGACTGTTGCACCTTTGTCTAAACTCACTGTTTGGCTGCTCTGACACTCACAACCCGCAGCTCTGAAGCCAGACAACAAGGGGAAGGCCTGAGGACACGGCCCCGCTCCCAGCACACGCTGTCAGCGCAGCGCAGGGGCCCGGGATGCGCAGAGGAGCCGGGTTCAAGGCACCGACCTGCACCCGATGGCTCCCCCCGTCCAAACCCCGCACCCAGAACCACCGCTCTGCTCATGCTGAGCGCCACGAAACACCTCCAGGTCTTCCAGCTGTTTGCGGTGCTCAATTCCACATTGTTATTCTTACAGAATCAAAAGGCAGGGGCTGGGAAATGAGTGTGGCCGCCCAATTTACCCAGTTCACATACAAGGGGTGACCCCAACTGCACCGCAGCCCCTGTGTGTCCCCTGCCACCACCCCCCAGCACCGCTGCCCCCCCCCGCTCCCCAGAGCCCACACAGACCTGCCCTGGGCCCTCCAGACCCCCCTCGAGCCCATGCCCAAGGCCCCCAAGCTCCCCCCGGCCCCCCCTGCCCCACTCACCGTGGCGGTGGGTGGCTCATGTCGAAGGGCGGGTGCTCCGGGCGCGGCAAGGGGCAGCTGTGCCCAGGAGCCTGTCTGGTCTGGGGCTGGCTCCGGCCGCACCTGGGAGCTGCTGGTGGTACTGGGTGCCGTGTCCCAACGTTGCTTGCCATGTCCCAACTCTACTTGCTGCTGCCTCCTCCTCCTCCTCACTGCTCTCCTCCTCACTGCTCGCCGCTGCCGCCTCGTCCTCCTCACTGCTCTCCTCCTCCTCACTGCTCGCCGCTGCCTCCTCCTCCTCCTAGACTTCTCCTCCTCCTCCTCACAGTCTCCTCCTCCTCTTCCTCCTCACAGTCTCCTCCTCCTCCTCACAGTCTCCTCCTCCTCCTCCTCACAGTCTCCTCCTCCTCCTCCTCACAGTCTCCTCCTCGCTACTCGCCAACTGCCCACTGCTCACTGCCTCCTCACTACTCGCCTTCTTCTCCTCAGAAGACCGTTGTTGCCCTGGCCCTGCTGGTCGCATTCTGGCCGATACTATGACACAGCGGGGGCGGGGCGTTGCTCGGCCAATGGCGGCAGTGCTGCCCGCCCTTCTTCCTCCTGTGCTGACTGAAGAATCGCAGTGATGAAGGAAGCAGCCTGCTGAGGGCCTGACCAGACCGGTCCTAACAAAGTCCGGCTCTCCAATACCGAAAGAGTTGTAAACTTCACTCACAGTAAAAGCTGTGGGGAAAGTCACAAACCATCTCCCCTTCTACAAGTCAAATTCTTGACTCTTTTCTCACTACTGCTGATTTAAATGGACATTGCTTCAAAATAACACCTAAAATTCTTAACTTTTCATACCAGTAAGCTCTTGCTGCCACAAGAAAAGCACTGTGCTGAGAAGGCACTATGAGCATACGGCAATATTTACATATTGACGTTTTGTCTTCCCTTAGATAATGTCACTTTGTATTTTGAAACCTTAGTGGAAAGATTTTTGCTTTCATCCTGATCAGACATTTAAGTGCCAGCCCACTGCTACAGCTGCAGCAGAAGTAGTCAAGCTGTTTCAGCAACAAATTAAATTTTCACTTTCCACTTGGCTGTTTTTTTTTCCCTTCCTCTTCATTTTTCTATTTAAACAAACAGTTTAAGTATTTGCTTACTTGGGGAAAAACAGTGCTATCCTTCCCCTGTTATGATAAGCTACTGATGTGAAGGGCAGTAGGCTGAGACCCCCAAGAAGATACTTAGAAGAGTGGGAAGAATTTGAGAGTCATAAAATGGGTGTTCTCTGGCTGGTCAAAACTGAGGAGGGGGAAGATGAACTATGGGGATCTCAAGGGAAGCACAAGAGGGCATCTGGGAGCCAACAGTGTGATGGGGGCTTGAGACAGCGCTGCACTGCCGTGTGTCAGGCACAGTGTTTTCAGGAGCTGCAGAGGGGAGATAATGCCCCTGACAAGAACACAGCTCATGTGACGTGGTGGCCCTGCTGGTCCTTCATGTACCAGAAAGATGAACTGTCCCTGCGAGAACTGGCAAGGGCAGCTGCGGGGATCGCTGGGACGTGGCAGAGGGACGTGCGGGCTGATGTCAGGAGTGCAGGATTGGCTCGGGCCAGGAAAGCAAGTGGGAGAAGAGTGAGGTGACTCCTGTAAATGCAGAAGAGGGAAATAACACTTAGGGAGAACAGTTACTAAGTCAGAAGAAGTGGGCACCTGAAACAATGTGTACTGCCTGGCCCTGAGTAACTTTGATCTGCAAACTGGAAGAAAACTCTTAGAAGATTTGGGTTCTGCAACAGCCTTCCAAGGGAAATAAAGCAAGGAGGTGATACAAGAAAATGATCACCTGCTTTGCAACTTGCTTACTTAGAGCAATTTATAATGATTTCTGAATATTGCTTAATAATCCTGCTTGCCCTGACTGCTCTGTGAAAGCTCACCAAGGGCTACTGTGTTCAGCCCTGGCGGACACCACTCGTGACCGGCCGCCAACCGGATTTAACTCCCTTCACCACCACTCTTTGGGCCCGGCCAGACAGCCAGTTTTTTACCCAGCAAAGCGTGTGCCCATCCAAGCCAGTTTCACCAGGAGAATGCTCTGGGAAACGGTGTCAAAGGCCTTACTAAAGTCAAGGTAAACTACATCCACAGCCTTTCCCTCATCCAGTAAACAGGTCGCCCTGTTGTAGAAGGAGATCAGGTTTGTCAAACAGGACCTGCCTTTCCTAAACCCATGCTGACTGGGCCTGAGCACCTGGCTGTCCCGCATGTGTTGTGTGATGGTACTCAGGTTGAGCTGCTCCATCAGCTTCCCGGGCACTGAAGTCAAGCTGACAGGCCTGTAATTTCCTGGATCCTCCTTCCGACCCTTCTTATAGATGGGCATCCTCTTCAAGTGCCCAAATGCTTTCATATACTTTCCACTTCCTTTTCATGAGGTTAATATTGTGCAACAAATTCTAGATTGCACTAATTGAGAGACACAACTTTTGTTTTTATCACATAAAGCAAGATAATAGATTAAAGAAAAAGTCTACCTACCAACCTGAAATGGCTCACAGTATTAATAACGCAAATTTTCTGGTAGTCAGCTCCCAAGATCAAGAAGTTTACAGACTCCTACAAAGGTTTCATTCAGGGGGAACAGGAGAACTTGAATTTCATCATATCCTCTAAGGAACAAAGCCTATATTTCAGAGTATCCATCTTTATATTTCAGGAATGCAGCCCTTCAGGATTCACCAAGGGCCTGTCTGATACTTCAGATCATTTTCCTGGTCACTTCTATTTGCCCATTCCACTTTTTCTTCCTATTACCTTACTCCACCTCCACATGACCCAATATGCAAGTAAAAGGCTGAGCCTGCCTTTATAATTAGACTGTCAAAACCATCACACTGCTGGTATGGACAGAGAAGACTGCAAAGAGAATGGGCAGGAAATCCTATTTCAGAGGGAATGGTTCCTTCCGCAATGGAGTGAGAGACATATAGCATTCTTATTACATTAAAAATAAACGTGGAAATAAATGCAAAATACGAAAATAATTTTTGGCAGATCTAGACTGAGGTCTAGGACATGGCATTTCCAGCATTTCTGTTGTCTGCATTCTTCAGCAAAGACACTCTCTGTATCAACACATTGCACCGACCCAAGAACTACATTTTTTATGGCAATAAAACTAAGTATGCATGGAAAAAAACCTTATAAAAATGTGGGCTGCAAAAGTACAAAACCTCTGGAACAGAAACAGCCCTTGGCTGCCATGAACACCATGAGGCTAGACCCAAATTCTAAACAGACTACCTATTTCTCTCCCTTCCTGCCCAAAACGTAACATGAGTTGGCCTTAATTGAACAAACTTGCTTTTCACACCAACACAAGCAATTTATAAAAAATGACAAGAAAACTTTCAGGAAACACTTCCCGACCAATCTCACCATATCCACCTACACATCTTTGCACTCAGATTCCTCAATATTGCAACTGCTTTTTCAAAGCGTGCAGCTGCCCACAAATCATGTCAGTTCTTCCCCACTGGCTTTGTCCACAACCTCAGCTCTAACATCTGTAAGAAGATCCTTTACTTTATTGTCTTGAACACGTTATCACCAACTGAAACCATTTCTGGGCTGGAGTTACAGCTGCAAGCATGATTCAGAGACTTGGATGTGTTCCTCAGAGAAAATTATACGCTCTAACTGAAAGTTAGTTCTGGAGTTAACTGGGATATGTGCTGATTAAAATAAACAAATATCAAATTTCATGCAGGATCATGATCAATATGAGATGTGCAGGGATAATGTGAAGGAAGCCACTGCAGAAAGCAGGCAGGGGAAGCTCAGGGACTGGTGTTTAAGAGATGGGGGATATAAAAGGAGTAAGCTTTAGAAAACTCTTTTCTCTTAGGATATTATTAACAGCAGGAAGAATTAATAAATAGATATTGTTTTATACAGCACAGGTGCTCTAGGAACAATACTGAAGATAAGTCATCGTGATGACCGAAGACTGCATCAGGGAGCAGCGATGTCAGAAGAGGAACTGGAGCGGGACAGAACTCGTCGGAACTCTGGAATATAACGGACTTATGAAATTGAGGATGAATTGGTAGTGTATTGCACGTTATGAAGAATCATACAAATATAAGAGGCTTTTTCTCAGCTGTTGCCACTCACCGTAGTGATGGTCCAACTCTGAGTTGTTAATAAAGCAAGCCTGGAGATACCCACAGTCTGGTGAGATCCTTTAACGGGGAAACCCAGAGACCCCTCGCCAACACCAACCGTGAACATCTCCCTTCCCACTCACACGAGACCTGTCTGTGACATCTTTCAGACTTCCCACATGTGCTCTCTCAAAATTCTTGCCCATCTCCTATTTTCTCCAGCAAGACTCAAAGCTTAGCACGCTGGAAAAGCTTGACAGCTTGGGACTTGGCTCTGTCAATTGACACACACTCTGTAACATCAAAACAATTATTATTTACATAGTCTTTAAGATTTCTGAAGAATTTTTTCTAGTAGAGAAAACAGCAAACAAAATATCCTGGCCCACAGTTCCAGGGCAGCAGTGCTACCACATTAGACAGCAACAGCTTCCCAGCCAGAGATGCAAAACAAAGAATAGCAAACAGGAGATTCTACACCAAGTTCTATAAAACAAACCAGCGGTACAAATAACCTGTGTTAAAAATAACAACACACAAAACTAAACCTCCCCCAAGAAAATTATACTGAAATCGCTACGTTTCATTCCAGCATTGGTTAGAAGCCAAAGAGCAAACATAAGAGGAGAATACACTTAAAACCAGAGAGATGGGAAACTTCAGCAGAGAATTCTCTGCTGAAGATTCCCAGATAAGCTGCAAAAATGCAGAGGGAAAGATTTCATGACATTCATACCCTCGGTTCTGGGAGCTGCTGTGAGGCTCTTCAGGCTGAGGAAAGCCAAAGTACAATTCACAGAAGCGCTTAATAATCTTGAGAAAACAATTACACATGCTAAGGATATGTTATGGCTGGCACAAGAGCAGAGAACAGAGCAAACGGAGATGAACAGGTTCACTAAATAAATGTCAATCTCTACCACAGTTACTGGTGTGCGTGTGTGTTGAAAGCCTGAAGCCTACTCAAAAGACTACTCAAAAAGTCTAA